AAAGTACAACACCCGCAGGTGAGTCCTACATGCAGTACGTCTGTTAGAATGCCGAAAAAGACCTCGAGAGCCACCAACTGCTAACTAGAACCTGGAGGGGCGCAAAACAAAGGTGAGTGGGTCAGTAAAACCAAAGATTTTCCAAAACATTTCATTTAAAACATTTCTAACCCCTCACCGTAAAACCTGTATACTTTCCCAGAGAATAGAATATAAACATATATATATACACATATCATCAAAACTCAGCCCGTCATCTATCAATATAACATCTCAGAAAGAATATGTCATGCCATGCCAAAATATAATAAGAATGCATCAATATAAATCAGGTGAAATAATAAATCAACCGGAGACCCTACAATGGTCCTGTTCGGCTGATTCTATAGCTCAACATCCCACTCAGCCGGAGTCACCACGGTGACCTATATGGCCCAACTCTGCACGTCACTCGGAACTACATATGGTAGTCTGTACGATAAAAGGTGTATAAATACGCTCTAGTGCTTCTCTCATCAATCATCGGCGCGCATAACTAAGGTCACCCACTAGTCGGAATCACATATAGTGATCTATACGACTAGCATGTCGGAACCCTCACATGGTCTGTACGACATCCACCTACTTGGATCCAAGACGAGCGTGCGGTGTGGTGAATAACAATATAAGCACTAACACCTAGGGTGCAGGTTATGAGCTTCAATGCAATTCTCATAAATAAATCATCTGAATAAGGTAAAAACTCACCTGTGCGTCCATCGCGTCATTTCACATATATATGCATCAATTCTCAATTCAAATATCTCAACAATTGCATGCATGGCAATTTAAATCATATTTTAATATAAACGCATTTTCTGGGAAAAACAGTAGTATATAGGTAATACGAAAACAAAACTGCCCACTCACTGGTAAGTCGATGGGTCGTAACCCCCGTGACATCCTTGGATGCGCTCGTCCTCGAGATAGGTGTCACCTATATGCGAAACAACTATAAAAACGTTAATTTAAACACATAACCAACAATTCGAAATAACTTCTCATAAAATGCTCAATTTGGGTATATGAATATACCACATTGACCTACTCGACGTCACGGACGTCGAGAAATTTTTAGATAAATTTTTGGAGGCCGCATGCGCCCCCACGCGCATCATCCCTAACCTCGGCTCGCCGGACTGAACTTTCCGGCGGCCGGTTTCCGGCCAACTTTGAAACTCCTTGTTCTCATTCGTTTCTCAACCATTTTCTTTGTATTTTATACCAAAATGAAGCCCCAAACATGTAGAATCATGATACACTACTTTTAAGCTCCAAAAACAACTAAATCTCACCAGAAAATTCCAAGCAAAACCGGCCAAAATCGAACCTAGTGATCCCGACGTCCAAAACCTTTAAACGAAGCACTCCGAGCTTCCTTGGGACCTCACTAAGCTCACAATAAGCTTAGAATTCCCTGAAACACAACATTTCACGTGTGCATGAACAATGACCAAAAATGAAGGGTTCGGGTTCACGTGATATCGAAGGTTCCACGTCCTAAAACTAGCACTAATCAACTCAGAACATCACAAGGATGAAGAATCTTACCTTGTTTGCTTCGATCCACTGAGTTTTGGATGGTTTTGGGTCTCGTCCGTACACTTCGAGAGTGAGAGAGAGAGGGAAAGCCGTGAGGGAGGAGAGAGAGAATGCTACGGGAAGGGAGAGAGAGAGAGCAGGGAGTGTGTGAGGTGTGTGTTGTGTGGTCCAACACCAAGCCACATCATCAATTTCATCTAATTCCCTAACCACACAACAATCCCATATAAGCAAATTTCAAAGTTTATAAAATTTAAGTCTCAAAAATGTCATATACACACATACCTTAATACCCGCTAAGGGTAAATCCGTCATTTCACGTCCCCAATAAAATAAAATCCCGGGACGGGCTGTGACATATTGTGAGAAAACATTCAGAGCTTAAGAGATGTAAGACTAGAATAATTTATAATGACAAGAGATTATATGATAATACATATGAAAATAGTTATAAGTTACCAAATAAAGATGAGCTTATAAATAAAATTCAATAGAGTAAATATTTTAGTAAATTTGATTGTAAATCAGGATTTTGGCAAATGCGATTAGCAGAAGTATCAATTGAGTGGACAACTTTTACTTGTCCAGAAGGACATTTTGAGTGGCTTGTTATGCCATCTGGATTTAAAAATGCTCCGTCGATCTTTCAAAGAAAGATGGATCAAATTTTTAAGAAATATGATAATTTTTGTAGTGTTTATGTAGATGATATTTTAGTACATAGTAAAAATAGAAATGAACATAGAAAACACTTAGAGATAGTTTTACAAGAATTTATCAATAATGGAGTTGTGATTAGCAAAAATAAAATAGCATTAGAAAAACAAGATATAGAATTTTTAGAAATTTATATTAAGTCAAGTACAATATAATTACAAGACCATATAGCTAAAAAGGTCTTAGAATTTCCAGATAAGTTAGACGATAAGAAACAGTTACAAGCATTTTTAGCATTGTTAAATTATACAAGAAATTTTATCCCTGAGTTAGGAAGAAAAATAGCAGTATTACATAATAAAACTAGCAAAACAAGACAAAAGTATTTTAATAGTGAAGATATTAAATTAGTTCAAAATATAAAGGAAGAAATTACTAAACTTAAGCCATTAACATTACCATTAGATGATATTTATAAAGTACTCGAAACATATGCTTCATCATTAGGATGAGCAAGTATACTATACCAGAAAAAGCATAAAGAGTTACCAAAGGCTGACGAACAAGTTTGTAGATATTCATCAGGAAAATTTAGTGATGTACAATCAAGATTACCATCATCAGACTTAGAAATTTTAAGAATAATTAACTCACTTGAAGCATTCTCTTTATTTTTACATAATGAAATATTTACGATTAGAACAGATTGTCAAAATATAGTTTCTCATTATAACAAGATACATGCTAATAAATAGACAGCCCGAAGATGAGTTAATTTTGTTGATTCAATTACAGGAAATGATTTTAAACCAATTTTTGAACATATAAAAGGTAATGACAACACATTAGCTGATATCTTATCAAGATTAATTTGTTGAATAGAAATGGAATATCGTGGACCATCATCCTCAAATAGCACAAGACCACAAGGCAGAAGAGCACCTTTCAGTAGCATAATGATGCACCATCAGACTCCACCTTTCATTGGATTCCAAAATGGCATAAGTAGACCAGTATCATCACCAGTACCCACTTTCAACTTTAATGGCAATATTGTGGAAGGAATCAGAAATCCAACTTTGAGGTATAGGTCAAGGGTACCAGGGCGCTTTCTGATAGGCAACATGTTCTATTAGATAATTTTTGGAATATCCAAATCAAACAGTCAAGCATGAGGTTAGGTCATGAAAAATTAATTAGAGCCTTATAACAAGAGTTTGATAGCTTTAATTTTAATTTTCATTCTCTTGAGTACAAACTTCAAGCAATTTCTAGAGACCATGAGTCATTACTTGGTAAGTTTACCAAAATGAACCAATAACTCTAATCTCTTATAATGTAGCAGAAGGCAAGTGACACCTTAAATAGAGAATTGAAAATAGGTTTGGAAACTGATCAGCATAAGAATAAAGAAAAAGAGGTTATTAAACCCAAAGAACAAGAGTCTAGTGAGCTTATAGAAGAGATTAAGATTGAGCTCTTAGATGAAGACATTGAAATGGAGCAGCATCAAAATAATGAGCAGGATCAGCACCTGAGTGACAAAGAAAAACAAGAAAGATATGAAAGTTATCTTAGGAACATATCTTTAAATTTAATATTAGGTGATATTTTATTAGAAGAAATTTCAAAAGCAAAATTAAGGATAATACCATCAGATATGCAAAATGAGATCCTGAGCAGAGCATTATAGTTCATGAAAGAGTTACACTTACAATTACATTGTGCTTTATATCAGTCCATTTTTGATCCAAAACCAGGGATGAATATTATTACAAAGATGTATCCACCATGCCTTTGTGATAGTACATAAAATTGTATTTGTAAACCAGATGTTAACATAGTTGTGGCTAGGATTAACATGAGAGATTTTAGACCATGACATTTTGTTTATGAGCATTAGAGAAAGCATAATGTGGTAGAAGTTACCCCAGCCTTACTATTAGAGTTTGGCTATCTTGATAAAATATTCATTAACCATATTTCCCAACCAAAATCATTTCCTGAAAAACTTATAAAAGTAGTAGAAGATTATTTAGAAAAGTAGAAAGAAATTTGCATAAATTTTATTAGTAGCCCTCCAGATTGGTATGTACATATGCATAAGGAGAAAGCTAGGCATATAACCATGATCAATGAAGAGTTATTTAGACTATCCCATATCTATCCACACAGGACTCCTTTATACAAAAGTATTCTAAAATTTCGAGGGATCCAAATGTTTGCCTTATATGAGTTTGAAGATTTTAGGTATGATATGGTATAATTAGTAGAAGAAGAAGAAATGCATATTTCCAGCAAGTCAAAAGCCCGTCATCAACCATACTGGAAGCCTCAAAATTTCAAAGGAGAAACAGAAGATATGTATTACAAGGTGAAAGAAGATAGAGAAAGAGATGCAGAGCTAGTAGAAGGCGATGAATAGTACTGGAATAATTTGACAGAAGAAGAGTTGCATAATATCAACAACATGATGGAAGCATAGCATAAGTTAAATAGCATAATGTAAAATAATGTATTTCCAGACAGAAATATCAACACCATTGTGGACTCAGCTGTAATAATAAAATAATGACATAAGAGTAAATAAAGAAAAGAACTTTATCCATTATGAACCTTTCATACACAAAATATCATTTTGATTAAGAATAAATAGTGACAAGCCATTTTCGTTAAAACTCCATATTTTGAAACATAAGTGACAAAAATGTACAAAGGGAATTGAAGGATCACAACCTTAAGTTTGGTCCAAATAAACTTGGCCCATTGAAAAAAATTATCAGCAAGGCCGCACAGGCCTGCGCTGCAATCAACCCACCCCGTCATTGCCTCCCAGTTTCAAGTGCCATCTACGACGCCGAGGCCCTCCTCGTTCAGCTATAGCGTGCCTCGCGTTTTGCAGATACAGAAGAAAACGACATAAAACGGATAAGCACGGCGGCACATTGTCACCCACCACCGCTTCTTCACTCTTTCTTCTTTCAACCTTCTGCCGCATCTCTTATGTAATACTTCTCCTTCCCTTTGAAAACGAAAGAAGCTCGCTCTGCTTTGGGTAAGCTCTCTCTCTAGCTTCATCTTTTCTTCTCTAAGTTCATTTCTGTTTGTCACAAAAAACCCAGCCCAACTCTGCAAATTTGTTTTTCTATCTATTTTCTTTGCTGTATTTCCGTTTAAGCATGGTGTTTTGAGTATTGGGTTGCGGTTTTATACATAATTAGGTGAAGTTATGGATTTGATGGTACCTGTGAAGCAAACCCTTGATGGGTTTTGCTCATTTCACAGAGTTGGTAGGGAAAGGACAAGAAAGACTGGTAGTTTTGGAGCTACTGTTTGTGGTAAGGTTGGTCCCACCAAACCCAGTTCTGGGAGGCTCTTTGTGGGCTGCAGAGCTCGGCTTCTTGTTCTCTCTGATAGCATTCAGTGTAGAATACAGGACGGTTACCAGAAACATAGGCGAAAGCGTGTACTTGCTGTGTCGAAAGTCGAAACGTTTAGTTCCAATGGTAGGCTGCAGAATGTTGAGTATACCCCACCTGGGGGTTTGAATGGAATGGACTCTTCCAATGGTTTCGAAGAATTTGAGAGTAACAATCATCTCCGCAGGTTGGTCAGAAATGGGGAATTAGAAGAGGGATTTAAGTTTCTAGAGAACATGCTTTATCGTGGTGATATGCCGGATATTATTGCGTGTACAAGTTTAATCCGGGGTTTTTGTAAGAGTGGAAAGACAAAGAAGGCGACTCGGATTATGAACATTCTAGAAGACTCCGGGGCTGTCCTTGATGTTATAACTTACAATGTCTTGATCAGTGGCTACTGCAAGGCTGGTGAGATTGATAATGCTTTGAGGGTTTTGGACCGGATGAGTGTTTCTCCAGATGTTGTTACGTATAATACAATTTTGCGTACTTTGTGTGATAGTGGGAAATTGAAGCAAGCAATGGAAGTTCTTGATCGACAGATGCAAAGGCAATGTTATCCAGATGTGATTACATATACCATACTGATCGAAGCAACTTGTAAGGAAAGTGGGGTTGAGCAGGCGATGAAGCTTTTGGATGAGATGAGGAGCAAAGGATGCAAGCCTGATGTGGTCACTTATAATGTTCTTATAAATGGAATTTGCAAGGAAGGACGGTTGGATGAAGCAATCAAATTCTTGAACGACATGCCATCATCTGATTGCCAACCAAATGTCATTACCCACAATATTATTTTGCGTAGCATGTGCAGCACCGGGAGGTGGATGGATGCTGAGAAACTATTAGCTGAAATGGTTCACAGAGGCTGTTCTCCCAGTGTAGTTACTTTCAATATTTTGATTAACTTCTTGTGCCGGAAGGGTTTATTGGGTAGAGCAATTGACATTTTGGAGAAGATGCCAAAGCACGGTTGTACACCAAATTCCTTGAGTTACAACCCACTGCTTCATGGCTTTTGCAAGGAAAAGAAGATGGATAGGGCAATTGAGTATTTGGATACAATGGTTTCTCGGGGCTGTTATCCCGACATTGTAACCTACAATACTTTGCTCACAGCTTTGTGCAAAGATGCAAAGGTTGATATCGCAGTTGAGATACTTAATCAACTAAGTAGCAAGGGTTGCTCTCCTGTTCTAATCACATACAATACAGTGATTGATGGGCTCTCAAAGGTGGGGAAAACAGAACGTGCCTTAGAACTTTTGCATGAGATGCGCAAAAAGGGTTTAAAGCCCGATGTAATAACTTATTCTTCTCTTGTGGGAGGGCTTAGCAGAGAAGGAAAGGTTGATGAGGCAATTAAGTTTGTCCATGATTTGGAAGATGCGGGCGTCAAGCCGAATGCTATCACTTTTAACTCCATCATGTTGGGGCTTTGCAAGGCTAAGCAAACTTGTCGTGCAATTGATTTCCTCGCTTATATGGTATCTAGAGGATGCAAACCTACTGAAGCAACATACACAATTCTCATTGAAGGCATAGCTTATGAAGGGTTAGCAAAAGAGGCTCTGGAGTTATTGAATGAATTGTGCTATAAAGGGGTTGTGAAGAAAAGCTCTGCTGAACAGGTGGCAGTCAAGATGTAGACGTACGCAGTTCAACTTTTACTCTCGGATGGTAGGTCATTGTTTAAGTATGCCATTGAATTCCGTCGACCTCATTTCCCATGATAATGATTTCCATGGTGTCCAAAGTATGTTTTCTTTAACTCACTCGTTTTCTTTGTCTTGAGGAGCGAAATCCAAAATCGATTTTGTTAGATATCCATGTAATCTTCTCGTCATTTTATTTGATCTGTTTCTTGTGCTGCCGATGAATCCATTGTTATCTGTCGAAGTGTCGATTAGTTTCCACTCTCTAAATATTTATGATAGTTCCCTTTAATGCCGCAAAAGATTCACAAAAGAGTTGCTGTTAAAAATTGCATCATTGCTCCATAATTTTGTAATTTTTTTTGTTATATTCTCTTTCTGTTGTTAAAATTATTGTTCGCGATTGTCTTGGCTTGAGATATTCTATATTGAACTACGCTTCAGAGTAGCTTGTACCGTGTCCGATTTACTTCACACATCAAAGTTGAAAGGCGTCTGAGTAGCTCATACGGACTAAGTTTAAACGTAGTAGTTAAGGGCACATTATGTGGACCGGACAATATAGGATTTCGTATTTCGGATTGGTTAGGCTAGGATTGGATTGGATAGGTTGGCTTTTTGTCTATTGTTTGGTGTGGTTTAACTCCACTGGATTTGGATTGGATTGAAATGTGAAATAGCTTAAGCTTAAACAGAGAAGTCAGAGACCACAACGATGACAGACGGTTGTCTGCAACCCACCCAATCACCAACCCACGATGCCGCCCACCCACGACGATCAACCCTGAGGACGTTTGCGACCTACGACCTCCTCCTGCATTCATATCGACACACAAATCACAACCCGCCAACCCACCATCTGCTCACACTTCTAGAAAGGAAGTGTACGATTTCCACACGCCATCATAAATGAGATTCTGAAAAAAGAAGCACGACGGTGCTACAACGACGACCTCACAACAATGCTTGGGATGACCCCGCGACGACGCTTGGGACGACGCAGCAGCGCTGCTCCAACAACCAACAACCATGCGACGATGGAAAGAGACGATGACAGAGAGCAGAGGAAGATGTTGACAGAAAGGAGGAGGCACCTCGCCTTATCCGCGACAGATTAGATTTGTAACCCGTGTGTGGGGTTTGGTTACATAATCCAACTATTTTGAATTCGTAACCGATCTTGTCAAAATTCCATTTAGCACCACAAACAACAGACTCAGACTCCTAAGGGTCTGTAAACTAGGCTGCGGTTATCTTGTCATTGACATCTACCCGAGTTGGTGTGGTTCCTCCCTGCATTTATCTTAGGGAATAATATATGGTGCATCTTCATAGACATCCACCTGAACTTGGTGGCTTCCATCTGCACTACGCCGTGTTCTCATAGGGAGTCGTTATGCATCTTCACTCACATCTGCCTGAACTAGGTGGTTTATGTCTGCACTAGGCCATGTGACAGAGGATAATGCATGATCATTACGAGGGTTCTGATCTCCCCGTGCAACATCGCAGATGCATGACGTGCGCTAATGTCATCAATGCTTGTGCATGCCAACACTGACATCTATGAGAGAATCTCTGGAATATTAGGAGTCAATACTTGAAAGTTGAAACCGTTATTGGCAAAAGCACCAAGTCATGGAAAATATTCCATCTACCGGAGACAAAAACGAAGGTGTATTTTCTTGCTGGGGACGTCTAAAGTTGAAGCTTCCATGGATAAGATGATATACAACCGCAAGGCAGAGAAGTGTTGGAAATCCCCGTGGCGGTTTCCGGTACGATCCTTTGAGCTATGCACAGAACTTCGACGATGGTTGGGACCAGATGAATGATGAGGACTTTGCTAAACGCGGTTTCTTAGCCAGATATGCTGCCCCTTCATTCAAATCACATGGAGATCATAGGTAACAAACTTTGTGTTATACTACACTATACAAAAGTACAAGACAATATTGGGATTGCACATGAGCTTTTCCATTTCCTCAAGCTCAGAAAAACAAAATGCAAGTTCGAACTTGGGATCAAGCTTGACATGCATAAAGCCCATGACCGGGTGGAGTGGGAGGCGGTTGGAAAAAATGGCGTTTAACTCTAAGTGGCGGAGGCTTGTTATGGGTTGTGTCAACTCAGTAAATTTCGCTGTCATCCTTAATGGGCTGCCCAAAAAAAAGTTCGCTCCATCTTAAGGCCTTTTGCCAAAGGGATCCATTATCTCCGTACTTATTCCTCCTTGTTAGTGAGGTTTTGTCTTGGATGATTCAAAGTGAGGTTTTGTCTCGGATGATTCAAACGGCTATTGAAAGGAGGCAATTGGATGGTGTGAAGATGAACCCTCTCGGCCCTGTTATCTCGCATATTTTCTTTGCCGACGACGCTTTGATTTTTCTAAAAGTAGATAGAAAGAATTGTAGTAATTTGGTCCAATTACTAGGAGCATATTGCTCTGCCTTTGGATAGGAAGTCTATTTGCACAAATCAAGTGTGGTTTTTGGTGCAAATATCCCACAGCAGTTTCTGAGGAGTTGGGGGATTCTCAGAATTCCTATAGGGTGATCCTAGCACCTCTCTGGGTGTCCCTGCTATTTGGGGCCGGTCAAAACGGCGTAAGCTTGCTTATGTGAAGGGAATAATGATGGGGAAAATTAAGGTTGGAAGCAAAGCACCCTATCACAAGCGGGGAAGGAGGTTACGATTAAAGCTGTTGCACAAGCTATCATTGTCTATCCGATGAATATCTTCAAATTCCTTGTGATGATGTGTAATGAGTTGGATGCCCTGATCTCCGGTTTCTGGCGGGATAAAAAATGTGGGGAAAGGTGGATCCATTAGGTGTGGAAAGACACTCTCGATCTACCGAAGAATATAAGAGGCATAGGCTTTAGGAATTTCCATGATTTCAACGATGCACTCCTTGCCAAGCAGTGTTAGAGACTACTTCATGACCCAAATTCTTTTTGGGCTAAGGTGCTAAAGGCTCGGTAGTTTCCCCATTGTTCGTTTCTTAATGCTCAGCGTAGGAACCAGACCTCGTGGGCGTGGACTAGCCTTCTGGTAAGAAGAGACCTGCTGTTGAAGGGGTCACATTGGCAAATTATGGGAGAAAGGGATGTTCGCATATGGGTGTATAGGTGGATTCCTTCACTACCATTTGGACATTCTACGCCAAGATGTGATGTGGAAGTTTTTAGGAATACCCGGGTGGAGTCGTTAATTTGCCAAAACACTCGAGCCTGGGATATTAATTTTATATTGGCTTTCTTATTAGTGGAGGGGCATAATGCAATCCTTAACACACTTGTTGGGGATACTTTAATTAGGGATTGACTCATTTGGCCTTTTGAAAAGCGTGGAAGGTACACTGTGAAATCGGGGTATCACTGGGCATATTCGCAGTCGAGCACCTTTGTGGGCCAGCGCCCCTTCTTCTATGCCAATTTTGGGGCAAATGTGGAAGACCATATGAAACTTGAATACTCCCCTCAAAATTCGGAGCGTTGTGTGGAAAACACTTCATAAGGCTTTAACGACGATGGTGAATCTTTTCAAGAGGAGATCCTCCCCCTCCCCGACTTGCCCAATCTGTCATAATAATGATGAATTAGTGGAACATCTCTTCCTTTTGTGTGCATGGGTGGAAACTATCTGGTTTGGTGGGGTGCTAAACTATATGCTTAATAGGGATGACATCTCGACATAGGTGTAGTGGCTGCACTCCCTTATCAAATCTGATTTCAAGACCAATTGGGATAGAGGCTGGTTGTTTTCTCATATCGCCTTCACATGCTGGCATATCTGGAAAACGAGATGGAACTTCCTTTTCAACAAGAAATAAATAATTTTTACACAGGTATTGCTAGCCATTTCAAATGTGGCTGGTGCTTTTTTTGAGACGGCTAGCACATCTGGGGATCTCCAGACCCCAGACTTTGGTGGTGTTGTTTAGGTGGTCCGTTGGTCCTTCCCAACTTCTCCGTTTATTAAAATCAATGTTAATGCGAGCTGGAATGCTTTAATTGGATCGGGCCTTGTGGGGATGGTGATGCATGATGACGAAGGCAAGTTTGTGGCTATTAGATTTGTAACCCGTGTGTGGGGTTTGGTTACATAATCCAACTATTTTGAATTCGTAAACGATCCTGTCAAAATTCCATTTAGCACCATAAACAACAGACTCAGACTCCTAAGGGTTTGTAAACTAGGCTGCGGTTATCTTGTTATTGACATCTACCCGAGTTGGTGTGGTTCCTCCTTGCATTTATCTTAGGGAATAATATATGGTGCATCTTCATAGACATCCACCTGAACTTGGTGGCTTCCATCTGCACTACGCCGTGTTCTCATAGGGAGTCGTTATGCATCTTCACTCACATCTGCCTGAACTAGGTGGTTTATGTCTGCACTAGGCCATGTTATCACAGAGGAAAATGCATGATCATTACGAGGGTTTTGATCTCCCCGTGCAACATCGCAGATGCATGACGTGCGCTAATGTCATCAATGCTTGTGCATGCCAACACTGACATCTACGAGAGAATCTCTGGAATATTAGGAGTCAATACTTGAAAGTTGAAACCGTTATTGGCAAAAGCACCAAGTCATGGAGAATATTCCATCTACCGAAGACAAAAACGAAGGTGTATTTTCTTGTTGGGGACGTCTAAAGTTGAAGCTTCCATGGATAAGACGATATACAATCGCAAGGCAGAGAAGTGTTGGAAATCCCCGTGGCGGTTTCCGGTACGATCCTTTGAGCTATGCACAAAACTTCGACGATGTTTGGAACCAGATGAATGATGAGGACTTTGCTAAACGCGGTTTCTTAGCCAGATATGCTGCCCCTTCATTCAAATCACATGGAGATCATAGGTAACAAACTTTGTGTTATACTACACTATACAAAAGTACAAAACAATATTGGGATTGCACATGAGCTTTTCCATTTCCTCAAGCTCAGAAAAACAAAATGCAAGTTTGAACTTGGGATCACGCTTGACATGCATAAAGCCCACAATCGGGTAGAGTGGGATGCAGTTATGGAAAAAATGGCGTTTAACTCTAAGTGGCGGAGGCTTGTTATGGGTTGTGTCAACTCAGTAAATTTCGCTATCATCCTTAATGGGCAGCCCAAGAAAAAGTTCGCTCCATCTCAAGGCCTTTGCCAAAGGGATCCATTATCTCCGTACTTATTCCTCCTTGTTAGTGAGGTTTTGTCTTGGATGATTCAAAGTGAGGTTTTGTCTCGGATGATTCAAACGGCTATTGAAAGGAGGCAATTGGATGGTGTAAAGA